TTTCAATTATTTGTCCATTGCTGAACATATTTATTGTGGTTGCATCACACAAGTATGAATGAATGATCATTCTGCCTCCACACAACCATGGCTATCCACACCGTGGTAACACTGACATTCATTTATGCCGTCAAAATATGCAAAATAACTGAAATAGTGGATTTACAAAACATAGCCTAAATGTGATTAACATGTGACAAATGGTTTGATATAATAGGCAAATGGCAAGTGGAAACTAAAACAATAATTGATAGTGATAAGTATGATGCACCGTGACTGTTTACGATCAAAACAGCCACAGTCTTGGCTATACATAACTGCTGATTATTGGGCTTATGTTCAAATAACAGTGAAGGAAATATATTAGATATGAAAAAAATAAGGATTTACAGTTTAAAACTGCAGATCACTCAACACACCACTTTTAACATGATTAGATTACACCCCCTCCCTTCCCCCCAATACACTACATATTATTCTGTCTTTCATTCTTTACACTGATGTTACAATACGCATCATGTTCACATTTTAATTACATAAAAAATCCCTAAAACCTTTCATCACCTTAATTTTCCTTTCTCCAAGAAATTAGTACAGTACTGTAAATATACTTTTCAAGCAGCCAAAATCCAATTTCCAAGCCTCCCTAATTTCTATGCCAATAGTAGCTATGTCCTTTACCCATTTTAAGCCTGTGAGCTAACATCAATAGTATTCTATGTATGTTTGGAGGCCTCTGGCTGACCTGTGGGAACTTGCAGAGAGAGGCGCTTGTTATTGGACGGTCTGAGCCGACGTGTGGCATGACGAGCAGATGGAAAGCGTTGATGGTAACGCTCATCTCTGAGAAACTTGACAGTGACAAGGTTACCTGCAAAAGAAAAAACTTCAGTATAAGAAAATTAAATTGTTTGCTCTTCATACCCACCGTATTAGGCTTTCCATAAGTGTAATCAATTAAAATATTAAATGTTCATAACCCTGTCATTGGTACTACCAAGTAAATTAAACACAAGCTAGTACAGTATACATTTAGATCTTAATAGTTCGACAAATTAGTCAACAGCAGTTACTATTTTTAATTGGGTTCTATTGTGAATTATTTTACAAACGCCATACAATACATTCAGTATTTTAATATGAACTATATGTTTAACTGATCTCTAACCTTGTCCATGGAGGACAGAAGAAAATGTATATATGCTGGTTAGCATTGTAAATGTGTGGCCATGTCTGTGGTAGAAAATAATAATAAAAAACTTTAATAGTTTTTTCCAAAGTTTATCAAAGTACTGTATAGTATAGAAATATAATCGGCATGCAAATTTACAAAAAAATTAGTGCAATGTTTGAATTTATCTTATGACTAGAGCAAAATTTCCTTTACTACAAAAATCTAAAACACTGCAGTGTTCTTCAGGCACCAAGCTTCTGTACGTAACACCAAATGTGACATCCTAAAAGCACTATGTGGGTAAAGTCACATCAGTCAATGTGTATTTTAATGTTAAATCTGTTAACTTGAAGGTAAAGTCAAGGTAAAAAATGAAGTACAGTATCACCAAGTAAATACTTGCAATAATTATGCAGTAAAAGAAATAGCATCCCAATTTGTCCTCACCAAGAAATAATTACCCTTACAGACTACAGTATGCTAAAGCGACTTGTTATCCTAAATCTGAACTTCGATTTTTACAAACTTTTCCATTGTAACTGCTTTTATCTTTTGAATGTACTGAACCAGTAGAAGTGACATGCACTAATACCTTACCATGGTTCTATATTCGTCACCACTGCAACCACAATTATAATACAGTTTTAATGGTTCCCTTTATCACACACTTTCTTCTTAACTTAATATACTACAGCAATAGCTTCAACACCATTATATATACAGTATATACATACCACGATGCAATCTACAAAAAACAACAAATGAGGCAACAAATCCAAAGATGTGACATGACCCAAGTGGCTAGCTTTGTGGTTATGATCAAATAATGTCCTACCAATGCTTCATGGCAATGACATCAAACTAAGTCCTCCAAGTCATTGGTCCTACATATAACTCAAAGTAAAAGCACTTTGCATGTCTAAGAGTGACAAATCCAGCAAAGTATCAAATGAGTCATGGCAGCCACTTGTTTTGCTGTACACTTAAAAATGCAACTTTAACCCTTCAACTGCCCATTACAATCAGGGATCTTCTTGAGGTTATCTTGAGATGATTTCAGGGCATAGGGTCCCCACGGCCCGGTCCTCAACCAGGCCTCCTTTTAGTTACACATCCCCAGGAAGCAGCCCGTAGCAGTTGTCTAACTCCCAGGTACCTATTTACTGCTAGGTAACAGGGGCATCAGGGCGAAAGAAACTGGTCATTTGTTTCCGCCTCCACCGGGTATCGAACCTGAAACCTCAGGACTACGAATCCGAAGCGCTGTCCACTCAGCTGTCAGCCTCCAAAGTAAAGTACCGAGTAAGATTTAAAACTCCCATAGGTACATGGGGAGCTCACATCTGTTTCCCCATGCCTCCAGTAAACAATGCCATTTCTGAAGAAAAAAAACATGGGCACTCTTCCTGGGTTTGAGGGCCTCAGTACTAACACAGCAACCATGAGTAGTGCATGCAGCAGTAGCTCACAGTACTGCCATGCTGCTATACCCACCCATGCACAAAAAACAAATATTAATTTGTATGCAGAATATAAGAAAAACACGAAAATAAGTGAATATTTATCGTTTCACTGGGTGGAGGCATTTTGTAAGTCTGCGTCTGGCCTTGTCAACGCCTGGTGCTCGATTTTGCTGATGCTACCTGAATTTTTCTGTTTCACATTGTTTTATCACTTGTTTTTCTTTATTTACATTCACAGAAAGCTTTCATATCAATATCTGCATCATGTATAACCCAGACAATAATTGTTTAAATCATATGATGATGACTGCATTCCCCTAGTAACATTATGACAGTAACAGCATTTGCACCATGAAATGTTATCAGTTTTTTTTCATGTGTCAAGGTAAAGTCCATTACATCCACATAGACCTATTATATCCATATAAAACTGACAATAATTGTTCAAATCTTCATATGATGAACAATTGACAATAACTGCTGTCTAAGAATTAACAATGGTTGTGTCATGTGTCATACAAGATCCTGACACTGATAAAGACTAAGTACAAGGTTCAGGTATCAGTGTACCAGATGGTGGTGGTGATGTTCACAACATGAGGTTCAGAGCCACAGCACATAGCCTTGGTTTGGTGCATCCACACATCATGCAAATGGGACCTCATGCTACTTTAGAAATAATACATGAAAAAGATTCACATCCAGAATTCTGATAATAATAGCAGTGTTTTGGTTAGAGGTTGCGATATGCATAGTATATCGGTTGGCACTTTGCTTCATCTAGTGCTGCCGGCAACTGATGAGCGTGTGATCAGGAAACACATTGTAGCTATTACTGCTGTGTGTATACAAAATATATTGGGAACAGGGGTTCTCGTGGAAATTTGAATGCGCAGCCTAGGGGCTGAAATGAAAACACCTTTCTGGGTATGAGTGATTTAGATGACCCAAGACAAAATCAAATATGCCTCATGCTTTTGCTCTTTTAAATAAAGTTTACAGCCACTGTCTCTGGTCTGGCCCTCAGCTTTATAATGCATTTGCTCTGGTACCACAGATATAACCACATATCTACCAGACCTCTGGACTTGAGCAGGCATATTGAACACCAGGACCAGAATCTGGTATGCTCATCGACGGAAAGAGACCATTGGAATCCGAGATGAACCTCTACAGAGTAAAACTGCCTAGAAAGAACAGATGGGGCAAAACATACTACACCTTGATGAAAGAGAAAAGATGGAAATGAGTGAAGTAGTAATCTGCCCAATATCAATAAACCATGCACTAGGTCCAAGTACACCACATGGCAAGGCCCAGAAGGGGTTAAACTGCCTGCATGCCTCACTCACGTGCCTGGTATCAAACACTCGACTACTCTGTAAGGACCTCCCTCTGTTTTCAGAGTAGTGTACACTTAGCATCCCATGGGATGTGGTTATCCTACTGGGAGATACATTTAATATTTCTTTTTCATTACCCTTCACAATTGAGTTAATGTTCCCATCTTGCATGTCTATAGCCAATTAATTTGCTTTGACTTTGATTAAAGGTTATATTCCCTGGAATTGGCTTCCATTAATTGTTTCCTTGCCAGACTTGTCATCTTTGAGACGTTTGAATGTCCTCTTTTCTGATGATTTTCAATTTGAACTGTTGTGTCCAAACAGTGCTTCAAACTTGGCTCTCAAGCCAGATCAATTGATAAAAGTTGGCAGTTTGCTGTGTATCTAAAAAACAAAGTGAGAATAACTATGCTTGGTTATTTATAATTCACTGTTGTAACTGCTGACCCTCCCCAGGATGCAACCCCACAACAAGCTGACTAACCTGTTTAGGTACCTATTTAGATGCTAGGAAATACACTCAACCATTTCTGTCCCACCCAGGATTTGAACCCGGAATTCCCAATTGTGAGTTGAGAATGAACCCGACTCTACTTTCGGTGGTGAACATGGATTTTTTTGGTTAAAATTCCAAAGCACCCCACACTTTCATCATCAATACAATACTTAAGGCATTCAATGTGAGAGATTCAGCCTTACTACTCTTGTGTCTGCTGCATGATTCACTTTATAGATTATTTTGTTATGACTCGTGACTACTTATGCAGTTTGCAGCTTTCACAGAAACAAGTCAGTGCTTTTAGACTAACAAACCTTCCTGTTGCAACCGTAACTCCATCTGCTGGGTTCAAGGGTTTATTTATCCACAGAAGTGCGATATTTGATTTCACTAGACATCTTTGTTATCCGAACCAACACCTAGGTGGCAGCCTCTTGGGCTGCTTTTTACCCCTCCGTGAACACACTTTATTGTACCAAATTTTGCCGTTTTCAATTACTGTATGGCCATTACTGGGGTAGGTGAACCTTTTCTCTTGTATGAGGAGGATTTTGAGGCTTTGTTTTTCTGCAGAACTATCAGCCAATCACTGTGAGAAAAATGACTTGACTTAATAATTGCCAGACATTTGTACATATCTCAAAAATCTTAGAAACACAACAGAACTTTACTAAAGGCCACTTATGTATTATGAATTTGCTCTAGTTCTTGTCTGGAATATACGAGGCAGTTGATTGTGGAAATTATTGTGATCTTGACTCGAAAAAAGCTTAAAATCACGTGCCACATGGAAGACTGATTAGAAAGATAGAGGCTCATGGCTGTGGGAGGTGCTATCAAATGCAGTATAAGGGTATGGGTTTCTAAAGGAAACAGAGTAAGCATAAATGGAATCAAATTCAAAGAAAGAAACTATAGCAAGTGGATGCCACTGGACTGTCCTGAAACCCCTGTTATTTACCTGATGTAGAATATAAATTTGTGTGTACTCTTGTAACCCAATGAACAGTCTTGTAAATAAATAAATAAATAAATACTGTAAATAAATAAATAAATAAATAAACGATTTAAACACAGGACAGACTAGTAACACTAGAAAATTTGCAGACGATACATAAATTAGGTGGGAAAAATATCCAGAAGATTCAAAATTGCTATAAATTTATTTAGATATGTTTTTAAAATGGACGAAAAAATAGCTATGAGCCTAGGCGATATTAATTGAGCAACTGGCTATAAGCTTAATTTAATACCCAACAAGTGCTCATTGTCATTCATTGATCTCCTGGCCACTGTGGTAATTGTCATGTGCCACTTCATTATTACTCCCACTTTAATACCAATGATGTAAATTTGAGTATCATTAAAATACATCTATATGAATGAATGTAATAGAATTAACCAAGACCTATTACAAAATTCTGTTATCGTTTTGTAATTGCTTACTATGTGAAGAGGTTACCATATACGGTACCTAAGAGCTGCAGTTAAATATTTACTTCCAGTGTTTGAATAACAAAGATGACATGCTCAGACAGAATCATAGCAAATGAGTGGGTTGTAGTTGACCAGACCACACACTAGAAGTTGAAGGGACGACGACGTTTCGGCCCGTCCTGGACCATTCTCAAGTCGATTGTGAGACAATCGACTTGAGAATGGTCCAGGACGAACCGAAACGTCGTCGTCCCTTCAACTTCTAGTGTGTGGTCTGGTCAACATACTTCAGCCATGTTATTGTGACTCATCGCCTGCGAGTGGGTTGTAAAATTTTCTCCAAGTTGTACAAGGAACAGGTTTATGTACAATAGATGTACAGGTACATATTAAATTGTATGCCTATATACAGTACTCTTTCACACTTTATCAATAAAGTGTACATAAATCAAGTTGTTCAACACAAAACACACTAGTACATGAAACAACAACCATGAAAACTAACCAAGGTGAACATTTCAGTCCTCTCCATATCAGCCAACCAGCTACCCTGTACACCTACTACTCAAAACAATACTGCGATCCTGCATCTTAAGTACTTACTATCCAATATATATTCATTATTCTGTGTTTAATGCTGTGTAATAAACTTGTACCCCTTTCTGTAATACCCTTTCATCTATTTAAATACTGTACTTCAATTGTGTCATTCCTTACTCTTTTTTCTATAGAAGATAAATGTTGCTTTATAAATCACCTTTCAAAAGAAAGACTTCTAACGCCTGGAATTAATTTTGTTATTCTTCTCTGTATGCATTCATGTGAATTTATTTTCATCCTATAATACAGATAAACTAGACTACATAATCTAAATGGGGCTATATACTTTTATGTACAAGTTACAATACATAAAATACAATGTAAAAGATGTGATCACAAGGTAAAAGATACAATGTACGTGATGTGATCACAGGATACAATATACAGTGAACACGATGTGATCACAGTGTACAAGATACTGTCATATATACAAGACTAGAGGGGGCACCTGGTCTGTCCATTTCTCTCCCCCCCTTCCTTCCATTCTCCATCCCTTCTATTCTATTTTTTTCCCTACTTCTAACTCCCTCTCATTCTATCTCCTAGTGGGAAAAACAGGCTTGAGTAACACTGAAACAACGTCGAATCAATATTATCGATGTTGAATGAGCTGAATCAACGTTATCGACATCGAATTAATGGTATCAATGTTGAAGCAATTTTATCAACGCTGAAGCAATGTTATCAACATTGATTTAATGTCAACAACTGCCAAGAATTTGGTTCGAAAATACTATGGACAATCAAACCCATAATTCAGGCTTCACAGGTCTCCTTGGTTATTGCAATAGGAGCCAATTCTACTTAATGGGTGTCAACCTCAACCAACCTATGACACTTGCCATACAACCACAATTCACCATGAAAAGTTATGCGAGGCTGATTGCAACTCTATGGCCTCCAAAATCAGACACTCTCACTTATGGATATAGATACAATGTACAAGATACAATGCACAAGATGTGATCACAGGGTACAAGATACAATGTACACGTGATCATAAGGTAAAAGATGCAATTACGGGTTACAAGATGTTATCACAGTGTACAAGATACAATGTACACAATATGAACACAGTGCATAGGGGTGGGATGAGGTGAATAGGTTGTGTTCCAGAGGATGGAGAACAGAACAAGGATATACAGCTGGAAGCATCACAAACGAATCGGCTATAAATAAAGCACACTACTGTACCTTTATACAAAGTGAATTGTAAGTAATGCAATAAGCTGGGAGATGATGATGTGAAAGCAACCTCTGAGCACAGTCTTGTGTGTGAATACAATAGAGCGTTATTATCTGGTTGAGAGAGAAATGCACCAGGTACTAATTGCTAGGAGGCGGGGCTCAAGTGCCAGATCTCACTCCCACTTGGGTAGTAGGTAAGCACTTACCATCATACCACCAGCCATGTAGCGCTCTGAACGCTCTACCCGCCTCCGAGAGGGACGCACACTTGAGGTACACACAGCCCTCACGTGAACCCCGATCTACTGCTATGTGGACAATGCTGACCCCTTCACATTTTTCCAGAATGCTGTCTTGGATTCGTGAAGGCCAACTATCACCGAACTCTCTGAAAAAGTGGTCCCATGTTAACATGTATACCTAGTGTTTTGGTCCGGTAATACCTTAATTAAAGGAGACCAACAAGTTACTTTACACTTTTTAATGATTTTAATTTATATAAAAAGAAAATAAATAATTAAAAAAAAATACAATAAATAGTGACGATATAAAATAAGCTAACAGGCTCGTACCTCATTCGTCAATATTCCATGACACATCCTTAAAGCCCGCAATACTGTATTTTGTTTACTGTTTTCTGTTTGCTTGCCCTTCCCTCCTAATTACTTGCTTTTTGATAAAAATTATGACATGCAATGTGCAGTCAGCAATTAATGATACATCCCTCGTAGGCTTTTTGCTTGTGCCCTCCTGAGTTTGAATTGATGCTCTACTTGGTTATTAAATGCTCACTCCTACATCTCTTAAGTTCAAGTAGTCCCATAACACATCAGTTTTTCCATTACTTTCCCAAAGTCGCTTTGGACGCGGCTGTTGTGAGCAGCCGCATCCAACAGCCTGGTTGACCAGTCCAGCAACGAGGAGGCCTGGTTGACGACCAAGCCGCGGGGTCACTAAGCCCTGAAATCATCTCAAGGTTACCTCAAGTTTGAGAGAGCACTTTTTTCCATTCTACATTTTTTTTTTTTTACATAATTGCGGAATATAACAATTTATCACACTTAAAGCTTTTCAGAAGTCTGTATTTTTTCCTATTCTGTGCTGTCTACAGTGATAATTGTCTAATGTCCCTGGGCACATTTTTGTAATGTGTACTGACACATCTTGAGTGGCAACACAACCACCCACCAAAATATTAATTTATGTGTATGTGTATAAATTAGATTTCCCTGTTTATTAATTTGTTAAATGCCACAAAATTCTTGCAATATATATTAGCATACAAAGTACATTGCTTACAAATAAGACCCGTACAACACAAAACTCTCAACACACTGATTAATTTTTTCAATTTAGTAAATTAGCGGGAATTGTATAACTGGAGTATACCTGGAGAGATTTCCGGAGTTCTTCTACTCCCCGAGCCTGGGGCCAGGCTTGATGTGAATGATACACACTAGAACAGTGAACACTGCAGTGTTTACATAAACATGATAATGTTAGTGCTAACACGAGTCCAAACTTTTGTTCCTGCTCCAGCACACTAATTATCAGCTGTGGATCACGTTTCATTCAAAATTAATATTGAACAACGAACTTCTTGTAAAAGTGTTGCACAACACTTTTATCAGTAGCATCTACAAAAAACTTACATGGCCTTACAAAACTTAGTCCGGTAAGAACCGACATATTCATATGGTTTATTATTTCCATATATAATACAACGAAGTCCTGCTTGAATAGAATGATTCGTATTGGATCACTCTACTTCAAATTATCTTCCGCTACATTTGGATTTTGCTACTTTATCCCAAAAATCACATTTGTATGAGTGCAAAGAACAGCACACACCATTTGAAAAAATAACTTTGTATAGTATTTAAAGAAAATATTGTGTTGAAATTTTATATTTTCAGTACCACATACGGGTTCAATGAATTTATCGATTTCCTCAACTGAAAGTCAACTATTACAACCAATTTCAGTGATCTTATGGTTAGAACAGAAAAGGCTGCATTCCAAATTCTGGCTGACTTGGTTGCCTTCAAGCACGATTCAAATGTATCACTTTGCATTTGCCAAGCAGGCACACCTGTATACAGGCATGCAATTGTTCTCAAATTAAGCTTATTCAAATAATGAAATGTGTAATTGAAAGTTGTGATGCACTGTGTACTTGTTATACAAATACTATAATGAATAAATGCCTTCATATCAACTCTTAAACTTCTCAAAGTAGCCATCATGAATCGACCTCCATTCACCAACAAAATCTAAATACTGTATGGCAAAAACCTTGAGTGGGGGATTTAAAAAATAATTATAAATAAAATCAGATACAGCAAGGCCAGAAGGCAGGGCATAAAGAGTTAGACCTCACTTCCCTATGGTCACAGTTAGCACACCACTGTTAAGTTAGGTAGGCACCCATACCTTCTCTGTAGCACATTTCACAATAATAATAATAATCATTCTATTTACGTAATGCTCACTATAAATAAATTATGGCATCTTGTGCATCATCACATGCTATTTAAACCTGTTAAATATAAAATTAACCTTAATGACATCACCTCATATGCTTTTTAATAGTGTAGCATTGTTCTAAACACTATAGCTACTCTCCCAAAAAGAGCTTGTGGCCCGCAGGCAGCTGAGGTTAGCAACTGACTGACACTTGAAGAGCACAGATCCGCAGGTGGCCAATCAGGGATCAGAACACCACTATTGATTCCCAACTGATCCTAACCATCGTCTTATAAGGCACCCACTACCCAGCAAAGAGACCATTTCATTCTGAATATAAAGAGGAGACAATGTCTCTTCTCTCAACCTCACTCTGTACCAGCATCACCTTGCAGTCAACATAAGACTCTGCCAACAACACCCAGCCTGCAGTATCCTGTCTCATGAATTACCATTCTGTAATACATTAACAATATTTACTATTAATTGTTACTGGTTGTTTCAATGTCCATTTGTCTGGTTAGTATAAAGGTTATTGGAGCCCATTCAAAAATAGCCAAATCCATTATACAACACCTTTTTTTGCCTTTCTAATAACAATGTACAGCATATTACTGTACATGCTTCTTGCAGGCATAAAGTAGCATACAGTGATACCTCTAAAACCCACTAATATTTTTCCTCGCCCAATCCATAGTACTGTGAAAGAGTTTTTGAAAAGTGCCCCTTATCTAGGGTAATTTACTGTATATCCAAATATTTTGGAATTTTGTTATAGCACATGGTTTGTCAAATTCAGATTAAAACCAACCACAGAATTAGTTTTTTTTTTATTATGCTCAGTGGCTTTCAAATAACACTAATTGCTGCTATTCTTACAACCAACTAGAATTATTTCTAAAAAACTCATTAGGAATGAATGTAGGAAGCCATACTGAATATTAGTTGCATTGATAGAACCCATCTAATTGGCCTTGATCCCTTAGGAAGGCCAGGTCCATATCAGTCATTTGCCCTTAATTTCATTAGAACATAAATTGTGCTGTTTCTTGAGACAGATCTGGGTAATGATGCGAGTTTGAAGATATTGTCAATCGCATGACCAGGGACACACACACAATACAATGAAGAGTAATGGTAAGTAATGATACCTGCAACATTAACGCTTGACCACTTATTCTGTTCTCCTCCCTCTGTAACTTTGGGCTATACAGGGATGCCATCCCCTCTAAACCAAACATCCTATACCTGGAAAGGACTATTTTTGTTGATTTGCACGGGGCCGTGTATGAGAGTACCGTCTCACAAGGAAAGTATTCAAATGCCGATTCTCAATCCGAGAGAATGGATCTTTTGTTTTCAACTAAAGACAATGGTCGCTTATGCCAAGTTAACAGAACAGCAACATGGAAGTCGCCAGATGCATTTTCCCTATAAGCCATGACTAGCAAGCCAGAACAAAAACAAGCTATTTTTAAAAATATTGCAAAATAAACTTCATTCACCATGAAGGAATAAAGTATGTGAAGCCAAGCAGCCTGTTCCCAATACGTTGTAATGTCGTAAGCAAGCTAGCCAAACCACAGCCTAACGTTGCTACTTTATCACCCTCACATGCAGCCGTTTCTCACTGGCTGGGGTAATTGCTGCTACAACACTAATGACCCCAGTCACGTTCAACATCGCTACAACTACCTGTGTTTGTATTGTGTGCATTACACCATAAGTATAACACTGAATTGACCAATGGCTTGCATGTTAGCGAAATCTTGTGTGTGGAGACCACCAGTCTCACAGTTGTAATCCACTGTGCAACTATAACAGTATTGTACCAAATAGAGGCTTCCTGACTGCAAAGTTGCAAGTGTATGTACTGTACAATGTATAAATGTGAATCGATGATTGTGTAAAAAACTATTTATGTACACAAAAACAGTGGGTACTATATATGGGCCTATTATGTAATGTGAACACCTATATTACACACAAAACTGTTCCTTGCATTGCTTAAAAAAGGAGTGTCTTGCAATCAACTCCTTAGATGGTATTCTGTCTGGGAATGTCATCCAGAAACCATTCAAACAGTGGTAGGAAAGACCAAATTGTGATTTGATGATAATTGTAGGAAACTATTACAAAATAACCTCACTGCATAGTAACCAATTAAAAAAAATAATTTCTTGCTAAATTAGGTTACTGCATTACATCCATATAGATGTACTGTATTATAATCATATTTCCATCATTTGTATAAAAACTGGATGATAACTAAATTACACACGATAATAACTGAATTAACCTGGGGATCAATGTACAGTATGACATTAACCACACCAAGTGTTAAGTTTGGTTGTGGAGTTCCTTACATTTGCCCAAGTAGTCAAAGTCAAGTAATTTCAATACTAAGGTCATAATAGCATCTTCCAAGTCCACTTGAAATTAAAAAGGTTCTACAGTGAAAAATGCTTAACATACCATTCATTCCTCCCTTTTTGTCAATGCTCTTTGAGTGAATTTTATTGTGCAAAACTTTGCAACAAAGTTAAAGAAAACTAATAAAAAAATTGTTGGTTATGTTTTCCATTTAAAATACACCAAATTCTTTTGTGCATATTAATTAATAACATTTTGTATGGTAATATTCTATGCTTTGGAAACACATTTGGTTTGGTATCGAGTTGACTAGCCTATAATTTCTATAAAACCATTATTGTTGTTAATATTTAAAATGGATTTTAAGGAATCTTATTATGTAAAATAAGATTTTATTTTATTAATAAGATTTTATTAATGAGTAACAAAAATTAATTTTGTTAATCTAAAAGAAAAAGAAAATTGTTTATGATAATTTTTAAAATACAGAAAGATAATTTTCTTAGAAAACCAATAAAAATCAAACATTCAAAGCTTGATCAAGCTTAA